ATTCTTAAGAACAGTTAATGAGTAATTGTTAACTGCATAGGTTATTTCTATGGAAACGACATATTACTTCATTGATCTAGCCCATTCCTGTATTTTTAGTGTCGACATCTGCCGCTCGAACGACGTCCACGGCAACGACGACGACAGATGCCCCCTCTGTCACGTCTACAGCCTCTGTCTCCGATTCGTCGTCGCTGGTCCTGTCGTTGTCGAAGCCACTTGGAAGCACGCTGGAATCTGTAATGGCGCATCCAGAGACCGACGAGGAAGTATCGCCTAGGTATGTGATCTAAGGGCGCTTGTATAGTCGATGACATCGCAGTCAGTGGGGAGGGGGTATCAGGAAGGGTGGAGTGAGCCCGTCTGCAACTGCTATGCTCACCAATGGTAACTGGTTAGTAGAGATTTAGGAAGAGAGCAACCAGTAGTGGAAACGTCCCGACCGCGCTCATCCCATCCCTTTCGAATCCTCCCCCCCCCTCCCCGTCTGATTGTGATGGAGTCCGCAATTCAGTACGCTGGTGTGGGAACGTGCCTCGTCCCATGATCCGTCGTTGATGAAGAAAGAAGGGGAGAGAAGGGGGGAGCGTTTTTTTACAACATGTCGATACATTTTCGCATGAAAGGCTTGGTTCCCCGCGGCCAACCTTGTCCCTGAACGGTGACAAAAGCCCTCTTTTGCTCTCTTTCCCTTTTTCATTTTTCAAGCCAGTTGGCACGATGGCGAGGGGGTGGGCGGGCGCTTACGGCCAATGTTACCGGTGGAAGATCTGCGAGAGAGGGTTTGGCCACACCCCATTGCACTTCCACCAATGACGTTGGCTGCAATCGCCCGCCCCATAGCCATCGTGCCTACTGCCTTTGATTGCGTGGAAAAGATGTGCACTTCATATCTTGGAGACGAGCAGGGCGTGGTTGCGTACTGTATCTGAACATGGGTTGGTATACATTTCTCAGGAAATTTTCCCATTTTGAGACAACTGCCATTCAGTCTTGCGCTGGACAAAGGAAGTCACAATTGCTCAAGGGTGAAAATATTCCGGAAAAAACGCAACCGCCAGCACGTACGAGCGTGCCCCCGTGCTACAGTGAAGTGCGCAGCCACGCCCACCCCATTTCCGGGATGTGAAGTGCATGTGCTCTGATGCCATTTCCTTGCCATGGATGTGTCGCGGCACGTCACAGGGCGTGGCAGCACAATGTTAGGCGATGACTTGTTAGGCCAGTTTATAAGATCGGCGCAGTTCCACGATTCGCATTCCATATTCTTGACTCGAACATTTCAGGGGCTTGAAACGTTCACCCGGCATGATCATGTCGTCTGATCTGTTCAGTGGGGCCAAGATACACAAGGTCGAACCACCGGTGTCAAAAGCAACAACGACAACACCTACGACGACCACAACCACTCGAACTGATGTCGTCCCAGCAGTGGATACGTTCAATTCTGAGCTTCCAAACACCTTCGATGAGCTGAAATCTTCATATAAATGGTTGCGAGAGATCTCAGAGGTAAGTGTTTTCCGTGGGAAGACTAATGACACAAATTTTTGAGAAGCATTTTGAACATCCCTGCGTTCGCCTTGGGAAGTTTTGGGCCCGAGTAAGGACAACTGCTCCAGAGCTTTCTAGATTCACATTGGCAGAGAATTGTCTTACCAGGGATTTCCCGCCCATTCCCTCGGAGACCCAGAGCTTAGTCTTAGTGAAACCTCAACCCCGCGCTTGGGAACTTCTACCGCAAAGAGCTGTGGGACATGTTGTCTCTTCAGGAGAAGCCAGCCGAGGACATACCAAGCTGTAGAGCCTAACCAACTGTTTGGAGTGCTCTGAAAAATGCTAGACAGTCAGGGAAGGGGGTACTCGTACACGAAGAAGAGATATCGAGGGAGAGGGGGGTCCTACTAACACTCCGCTTGATCAGATTCATTAAGCAAATGTTTCTATCATAATTGCCTCCAAAGTGGAGAAGTACGTGTTTTATGTACCCGTCTCATATTACCAGCCCCGCCCACCCCACGAGCCGTGCTCCACCACCCCCACACTAAGGTAAACAATCACCCATATTTATCAAAAAATAACACCTTAATGAATCTTGAGATCATAACCGGCACATACTTGCTGGATGTTACCAGTAACTTACCAAGGTCCAGTCGTAGAACACATTCCAGGAGAGGTGTGGAAACTCGTCCACGCTCAACTGTCTGGCGGTGAAAATGGCCCTCCTGATTTGATTGCCGCTTTTCAGTAAAGAATGCGATTACAGCAACATCAAGAAGGGCGCAGTTTGCCGACGGGGGACGTGGGGGGGGGGGCATTTTGCACTTGCACTTTGTTGCTTCACTACTTCCGGTTTACAAGTCTCACTCTGGTGAAACCTGTGAATTCTTGTGAAGCTGGAGCAAGGCCGTCAAGCCATCATGGTAAAACCTGTCAACTCGAGAAGAGGCTGTAGATGGGTGGTCACTGGTTATGGTCGTACGTCGCGATGTTAGCAAAGTTGCAAGATGCCCCCCTTGCCCAATTGGCTCTTAAGGAGACTTATAAAGTGCTCCTTGCCGTGCACCCGGTAGTGGGTCAGTTCCTGGATCGACTCGCGGCCTGGGCAACTGACTATTCCTTCCCTGAGGTGTCAGTTTATTGGTACCAGGCTGATTTCTTAGCACTAATTCATCTTGTACATGGGCTGGACCTCGGAGACCAACAGGCCAAATCGCATCCCGAGAGACCTCAGACACCTGAGATTCTGGATGGAAAACCAGTGCGTGGCTCATCCCAAAGAAAATCAACCAGTGTTGTGAGAATTTCCTTTTTGTAGGGGACAACGGCCAATTGCACTGCTATGTATGCAGTCAGAAGCTCATTAGTCTCTTGTATCACAGTAGGGGCGGGGCCTACACGAGTGGGAGGGGCCCTATAAGATCGTTCCCTGCAAGGTCGCTTCTTCAGTCCCAATACTTCTTCCGCTCTCTCAATTCCCGTTCTTTTCGATTTTGATCCATGAGTAAATGCCATGCTATTTTTCACCCGTAGCCGTCACAACCAGACCTTCGAGCAGCCGTGTGCCAGCCCATTTCTCATTTCCAGATGTCCTTTGACGGAATAGAATTCGATAGGGAAGTCAAAAAAGGGTCAAAAACGCAACTCACTGCAGCGCTCCCATCTGCTTTTCTTTGAAAGCTGTGAAGCTACGTGATAGAATGCATGCAAAGGTTAAATCAATTCACAATGGCCGCGGTGGAGCGCTAAATGCGCAGGGCCTTCACCAATTGTCGTATCTATGGTTACGTGCAATCGCGTTCCAACTTCGATTCACGTTTCTCTATTGTTTTTAGAGATAGCCTTCGTGGATTTGTCCCGGCGTCAGTCACGCCCTTGTCTCACAGGTTAGGATGTGCCAGGAAATCCATAGGATGAAGAGAAAGAAGACGAATCGGTACCACTTGCCCTTACCTTTCTTGATCTGGGCCAGTTGGTTAGAAAAGTGTTCACGTGCTTAGGGTACAGTATGGTTATGTTTAACAC